AAATAAATTGATGTGTGTCGGTTTAGGGAAATACCGGGAAATACCCGTAAATGGCGCATCATGCACGTGAGGGTATCTGATGGAGAGACGCAAAGCAGTTTAAAGCAGAGTCCTGCACGGGTCCTGTTAGGTAAACCTGCATCCGCAGTACACAACAGAACACCCGACCCGTTATCCGACAGCAGCCAGCACCAATTTAATTCTGTACCCGACCCGTTTGACAAAGACCGCGACCTGAACCGCACCCGCATGAAATAGGCTACTGCATCAGTAAGGCTAAATTATTTATTTTCTCATGTGACAAGCAGTCAAACCAAAATAGGCATTTAAGTTGGTGCTTTGAAGAGAAATAGACAAGCAGCGCAACAGAAGAATGATAAGAACGCGCATCCTTCCTGTATACAATACAAATTTTTGCCCACATCTTGTTAACAATCTGTCAGGCTGTTTTGAACAAATGTGCACAAACTACATACTTAACCCTCTACCGCACGCATTATGATAGACCTATAGAAAAAAATATTTGAATCTTTTTCTTTTCTAAGAATAGCTTAACTTGAAGTGCTGTAAAAAAAAAATTGGAAAAAAAAATATTATTTTAAGGTACTTTATGATATGTTGCCATACGGAAAACGTTTTCAAAGTTCATGAAAATTCAGCATTATGCAATCTCTCGAGAGGAAGACTATGAACATCACCCCCCAATAATCCTTGAAAGATCACCTTGTTTATGTATGAAACGTCACAAAGCAGTTTTTTCATGTGCAGGAAGAGTGCTCAACAGAAGGAATAAACTCATACAGGTTAGGAACGATATGAGATTGAGTAAATAATGACAATTTTCATTTTTGGGTGAACTCTCTCTTTAACAGTTTTCAAACTTCAATCTTATTTTTAAAGGTATAATGTTCAGAAAGACTAAAATCAGAAGATTAAGGCTAAAATATTTTTTTTTTTTAAATGAATAAATACATATTTTCTAAAGATTACCAAGTTAATAGTGATTTTCAAATTTTAATCTTAAATTTCTTTAAAAGTATAACGCTTATAAAAACTAAAAAATAAGGCTAAAATAAAATAAAGATTCACTTTTTTACTCATTAATTTTAAGTCGCTAACTAAAAACGCATCTAAAATTAAAATAAAATAAAATGACTAAGTAAAAAAATAAGTGAATATTTTTAAAACTCAATAACATTATCAAATGTAAATTATATATTATTTTAATAAATAAGTAAAAAAAATGAAGTTAAACATTTTTTAAAGTCAGTAACATTTTCGAGTGCAAGTTAATGGGGATTTTTCTTTTTAAGATAAGATCATGATGATTAAAATCTTAAGAGAAATTTCAATGCAATTCTGCTTTGCAAACACTATACAGTACATGATTTCCCAGCATTCATGCTGTTCTCAAATATAGCACAATCCTGCCACCTTCTGGACAAACTGCTAATGGTAACCATCTCGCTGAAACCATCCATTATGTCATGCTCAACATTCCAGCTGCATGCATAATGCAAACCTTCTTCAGAGCATTTGCACATTTTTCCAGTTAGTTAAGAGCAACAGCATCTCATTTCATTGCACCAGTAGCCTGAATTTCTAATTGTTTGCAATATCTCCAGTATTTCCATAACAAAGCCATTTAAAATACACAGCGCAAATACACAGACAGCTCATTGCGGTGTACAAATGCAGTCTGGGTAGTGTTGTGGGCGTCAGATGCTTCAGCCTGCATGAACACAAGGCTATTGAGGCATTTCATCATGCCATTACTACACAGGTCAGCATTGTTTTCTTATGAGAGATTCTTCAACATGTCTGTGAGTGTGCGAGTGTGACAGAGCAAGTCATTGTTGTGTACTTACATCGAAGCCTGTGTTCGGATCCCATCCTACATGACCGATGTGCCTGGAAAATATTGCGTTAAGCACAGTCAGACTGGCATAAACAACAACAAATACAACATGAGGAAAGGGAAAAAAGAAACTTAACCCTTGTGCTTGTGTGTTGAAGATCCTTCCTAAATTAGTATTTTGTTTGTACATCTCTCCTTGTGTCATATTATTAACAAATCTTGCAATCAGTCTTTGTCAACTTGTTTTCTTTCAATGAGCACAGGATTTGTATTTTTCTAGGAACTGATTGGCTCCAGGTCACACTGATCTGAGCTTATGCACCTCAGTTTTGGAGTGAAAAAAAAAATTGGGGGATAATTTTGGCAATGCTCACTTAAAATCTAAGGTGCATAAGCCAAGGTTATAATCAATAGCAATAAAAATTAAAGCTTTACTGACATAAAAAGTCAGGGTTATAATTAATAATAATAAAAAAATGAAAGCTAGATTCACATTAAATAACAAAAATTAAGAATAGAACAATTTTAAAATGTTAAAAACTATACAATAATAATAAAATAACACTGGCATAAGCCCAGATCAATTAGTAAAAAAATAATATTATTATTAATAATAAAGTTGACAAAGACTGAATCCAATATTTATTATTAATAATGAAAAAAAATAAAATAATAATAATGAAAAAAAACATTACAGCTAAAATAAATAAATATCTTAAACAATTAAGTAAATATTTGTTTAAATAATGACATTTTCAAGTTTGAGTTAATGTGGATTTTCAAACTTTAATCTTACATTTCTTTAAAAGTAGAACAGTTACAATAACAAAAACACAAAATATTAAAATTGTATATATATAT